ATAAATTCGGATGAGGAGAGAACATAAAACAGAATAACTGGATCCTAAGGCAGACAGAACCTAAAATTAATGACACTGCAAAAAAAATGATAATCTAGAAAGAAAGAAATAAAAAACTTGGACTCAATAGGCAATGTTGCTATCTAGACATAATAGTCAAGTAATGGGATCTTTAATAAAATAACAAAAATCCATTACAGTTGCTGTAAATGTGTGAGGGGATGTGCAGAATTCCAAAATGAGGAATACTTTTTTTTAAAACGACCCTAGGTTATAATGTGGAGCAGGAAGTATAAATCTGGATTCCCATTTCCACAAAGTTATGCTTTCCTGCGGGCAGTCGTATCATTTTACTCCCAGCATTATATTTTTCATAAGAGTTTTATTTTGAGGTTTGGGGCTCTCTTCCTCCATCACATCAAATCAAATTTCAGTATTTATTAGGAACTGACCTGATCTGGTATTTATTTAAGATGTAATTCCAATCTACAAACATTCAGAGGCTTATCACAAAACTATGTGGAATATGTATAGATTTAGTTAACTGTTTACCATCATTCAGAAATGCACAGTTTTGAAGCCACCATAATTAATCCTACAGGAGTGTAGAGGTGGGTATTATTACACATCAACCATATGGGCTGTCCTAGCTGTTGAAGTCTGACATGACATTTCTGCCAAATCAAACGTATAAACACAGCAATGCAGCTCCACTGATGACTTAGTGCAGAACACAATTCTAACACTGGCGGGGTGGGGGGTGCGGCTCTAAAGGTGTATTTAACCACCAGCTGTGATGGCTGAGTTGTTTTTTAGGGAAGATGAGACCAAATGAGTTGAAGGCCCTTGTTCACCCCCACCTCTCTTGTGACCTTGTGGACTGACCTGCCTCATGTGCCTGACTGAGTCATGCAGATCAGGAGAATCCATGGTTTGACCCCTTGTTTGTGCTGGGTTAGCTCATCTCAGTTGGGATGGTGGTGGGCTTGCTTAAGCATATCTTGTATATATTGTAGCCCCAATGTCCAGTTCAATGACTTCCCGAATAATTTAGTTGTATAGACACTGGTGGGCTGGGGGAGGGAGCAAAATTAGCTCAGAGGAGGGGTGAACTCTCCTGTGGGGGGGTTGGGCACCACTGGACACTCTCCTGGTGTGGGTCGCCACTTTCATGGAGGGAAGCAAAGAAATTGACGAAGACATAAGTAAACATAAACAAAAAAAATCTCCAAACGCTTCACAGGATATACTGTAAAATGTTTTATTCTGTAGGCAAATATGGCAGCCACTTTGCATGCAGCATTGTCTCACAAACAGTCATGAAGTGAATAACCGTATTTATTGGGGTGTTGTTGCCAGGCCCTCCAATGTGTAACCACCAGAAAAAGTGCCTTGTGACATGAGCTGCATTTTCTGCAGGCATTCTCCTGTACCTCACATCTACTCATGATACCTCACCTCTGAGGAGAGGCAGATCGGAGCCAAAGTCTTGTGGGTTGGTGTAACCTACAGAGATTTCCCTACGGAAAACAGAGTTTACTGTAAAAGTTTACTGCTTTTTTCTCCTGAGAGGCCACAAAACGCATCAGGTTCACCATTCATTTTTCACTTGTTTTCAACCTCTTTATCTGAAACCTTTAGTCAATAATCAATGATCACAATCGAATTCTATCAGCCACCCTGCACCCGCTTTCTAGAACTCCATCCCAAAGCCCCTCTGCATTGCACCCTCTCCCCCGCATCCCCACCACAAGCTTCAAAACCCACTTTGAAACCTATCATTTCAATCACACATTTGGCCCTGTGCCCCCATCTCCCCTACAGCTCAAGCTCCCAGCCAGCTGTGTGGAGCACTTTGAGATGTCCTCTCAATGTGAAATGCAGAATAAAAATGTAAATTGTAACAGTAAACCTCCATCTCTATTAATGTACAACTATTCAGTCTGTACATGTGTTTAATATTTCGTACTCCAATATGCCTTACCATTTATCCACACAAAAAAATCATCTGCCAATGCTTAGCTATTTATTTAATTGCCTAGATCGTCCCAGAGAACTACTATGTTATGGAGTCCTGTATAGTAGTGGCTAGTGCACTCGAGAGGACCCGGGTTTGAATACCTTAGTCAACGTACCTTAATCACATGCCTCTGTTTACCTAACAGTAAGTTGGAACCCAGTTGTTAGTCAATTGGTGGATTACTTTCCGGGGGTAATAAAAATTTGGTCATTCAATCCAATCTGTTCATGGAACACTTGTGCGCAATTGGCTGCTGCATTTCGCCCACAAAATACTCAGTCAACCCATTTTACAATATATTCTGTGAACTGCTCTGAGATGCCTCAATGATGTAATAAGGTACTATATCAAATGCAAGGATTATCATTATTATTATTATTAAAATAGGGAATATCTGTGGCTGGAAAAAAGGCAATCATTCCATGCTCTAAAAAACTCAAAATATTGAAAAACTGCATCCAGGTTTAAAAATTAGTGCTTATTTGTATAGGAGAGTTTATTTTTTGGTAGCCCATTTTTTGTCTTTTTGAAAGAGCTGATGATTATAGTGTTGCCTTTGTTTTTGCTCTGTTCTTTCTCTGTGGGTGAGCGTGTGTCACATTTTCACTATGGAGCATATCCATAATCAAAGTTCCTCTGCATATTTTATTGGAGTCCTACACTGACAAACCGGACTCAATTACGAAACAGCTTGTTTTATTGTTTGTAGAGTTAGTATTCTGTACTATTCAAATCAAATGGGCAAAAGGCACTTCTTCATGGCAACCTCTCTTGTTATCTTATGATCTTGTTTATGTAACAACAGAAAAACTTAAACAAGGTAACTAAGCGCCATCATCTGGATTAACCAGCAAACTGCACTAAACAGAAACCAGTTTTATGTTTGTCCTCTGACGATTTTACATCAGACTTTCTGCAGTGCTTTTTTTTAAAAGGCTTATTTTGTTTCTCAAATAACTTTCCTAAACTGTTACTTTTGGAAACTTTAAATTAGAAATTATTGTGCAGTTGTTTCCACTTTCAAACCATACTTGTGATTGACTGAGGCTGAATATAATACGTAGTAACACTTTAATACATTAGTTTACATTTATACTGAAAAATATGCTTTGGTTCTCCTGATAATGTGGTAGCAAACAGTATAGGGAAACATATCTTAAATAACTGTTGAATAGAGAGACCAGTCCAAATTGACCAAAATAATATTATTTGGATTATTTGCATTTCAATATGTATTAGGCGACTGACTAGCTATGTAAATTTGGGATAGCATCTTTCACGTTAGGAAGACGTCTCAAAGCAACTTCACAGGATTCACTGTAAAATGTAGTAATTGTATTTTGTAGCAAATGTTAATATTACCATAGAATGTACTATAAAATATACCATAGAAATACATTTCAAATGTAGTCGTTGGTGATGGAATTTGCTCCAAACAATCGGCTTAAATTCTTGACATACATAGTAGTTGTATAATCACTAGGTATATTCATTAAGGAAAGCTAAAGTATGACTAGTTATTTCATATTTAAATATAAAAAATGTATATACTGCAAAGATTGCTTTATTCTATTAGGATCCATGTGTTCCATGTGTCGTGGAGTCCTGTAGCTCAGTGGTTAGAGCACTCGCTTTGCAAGCGAGAGACCTGAGTGAGTTCAATTCCAGGCAGGGCGAAACCTTGGGCAAGTTTCCTTACTCCACACGCCTAATAATAATCCCTCCAAAACCCCCCAAAAAATAATAAATTGGTCATTTTCAATCTACGACTGTTTGTGGGACATTGCTGTGCGCAATTGGCTGCCGCGTTCGCCCACAAATATACAGTCAATTCACTTTACAGTGTATTCTGTGAAGCGCTTTGGGACGTCCTCCCGACGTGAAAAGCGCTATATCAAATGCAAGGATTATTATTATTATTATTACCATCCTCGAGACATCTCAAAACCCTTCAAAGAATTTATTGTAAAATGACGTGACTGTGCATTTTGTAGGCTAATTTTGTTTTAAAAATTAGGCTTTTAAAACAAGGCTAATGAAATAAGCCTAACAATCCTTGCATTTGACATAGCGTCTTTCACGTCGAGGTGAGGAAATCTCAAAGCACTTCAGAGGATTTACTGTAAAGCGTAGTGACTTTTATAATTGGCGTAATAAACCCAAATCACAGCCCCACAAATATTACTTCTAATGTTAAAGGGGCTCAATAATCTTGGTGGGGGTTTATAGATATCAGTTCCTGGAATGTTATGCTATGAAATAACTAAGATCCTGGAGGAAGAAGTGCAGTTACACTGCAGGAATTGCAGTTATAATAATAATAATCCTTGCATTTGATATAGCGCTTTTCACGTCGGGAGGACGTCCCAAAGCGCTTCACAGAACACACTGTAAAGTGAATTGACTGTATATTTGTGGGCGAACGCGGCAGCCAATTGCGCACAGCAATGTCCCACAAACAGTCGTAGATTGAAAATGACCAATTTATTATTATTTTGTTTTTTTGGAGGGATTATTATTAGGCGTGTGGAGTAAGGAAACTTGCCCAAGGTTTCGCCCTGCCTGGAAATGAACTCAGGTCTCTCACTTGCAAAGCGAGTGCTCTAACCACTGAGCTACAGGATTCACTGCAGTGAAATTTATTGAGCTGCAGAATACTTTCCTGGCAGATTTCCCTGCTCTAACCATTTCTGATAAAATAATTTAATGTTCAGCTAATGATGTGGCTGCTTGTAAGACTTTGCTATGCACAAATTAGCTGCTGCGTTCATCTACAAATATGTAGTCAGTATGATTCGTTCTGAGATGTTTCGACCATGTGATAAGATGCTATATCAAATGCAAAAATGATTTTTATGATTATATTTTTGTTATCTATTATAATTTCATTTGTTATTGTTGTTGTAATTCATAGACAGTGACAAATATTGTTCCTTAATTTAGAAGGATTATGTTACCATTTCTATATTGTTTATTTCAGATTAAAAAGGTAACCTTCTCACCAGCAAACTATATCCTTTGTGAACTTTACCTACACAACAACAAACTCACAGATATAACAGGTACAGTGTACCCAGTCATCTAAATGAATGTATTGATTTTGTACTGTTATATACTAATGAATGTGCTATCGAAGAGCAAAACTGTTTTGCTGTTGTTTGTTATGACAGGTAATTGTCTTTCTATTCCACCCCAAACCATCACTTTTACTCCCAACGACACATTTTCCTCAGGATGATGTCTTGAATAGGTTTCTGTAGCACGCTTTGGTCGACCTGCTACAGGACCATTGAAAAATTACACAAGGTGTAATTTTTAAATGGATTGATATCCTGTTTTTTTTCTTGACATTATAAAGCCATCACTGAAAGGTCACATGATGGACTATATTATTCAGCCACGCAATAAGATCTGACATGATAGATAGTAATGGGACTATTTACAGACCTTATATAAACATCTTACAACGTGTTGTATTTTTAAGGTCATAAAAGCTGTTTTCCCCTTCCATCAGGTGCAGAAAAACATGTTTCCAATGAATCAAAATGATTCCAACAGGTGCAGCCACTGCACCAAATTTTGCAGATAAACCCAACATTTTTCATGGTCTAAACTTTTAAGATTATGCAAATTTTTGGGTGGAATATTCTTAAATTCAACCTTAATTTGGAAACTTCTACAAATCCTGAAAAAAAAACTAGAAAGCCAGTTTACAACTTAAAACTGAATTTAAGATTTTTTCCCAAATTCATCAATAAAGTAAATATTAAGACAATGCTTTTAATGCTAACACCATGATAAAACTCAAATGTGACTAATGAGCACTTGGATGAGCTACCAAACTTACCAAATACATACAAAACTATATCGCAATAGAAGGAAATGGAGTCAAACAAGTTGGGGAAGAGAGGAGAAAGAAATGGATAGAAATTGATAAAAATAAAAGATTGATAAGATATGCTTTGTTTCACAGGTTCCCTGAAGAATGTGAAGTCATTGCGGATATTAACATTGCACAACAATTGGCTTACTGATGTGTTGAAGACTGTGAAGGAGTTCAGGAACTTGAAGTTTCTACACACACTGAGTGAGCAAAACCACATAATTATAAATTGTGTGGACACTTTCTCTTCGAATGACTGACTGGTTGATGGTCAAGGCTGATGCAATGTGAAAGTGGCATGCTGACTTGATTTATGTCCCTGGAACCAAATGAAAGAAGTTTTGCCAAATAGGATTTCATATAGAAGATGACACTTTTAACCAAAATTCAACAATATAATAATAATATAATAATAATTCTTATATTTGTAATTCTTACAAATTTCACATTGGAGGAATGTCACAAAGAAGTTCACAGGATTCACTCCCACAAGGTCAGGGACTCTTCCAATATCTCGGTGGGGTGGGGATGGGCACCATTAATTCACTGTAAAGTGAGTGTCAGCCTTCCTAGACTATGCAAGGTCAAAGTCCCAATGTGAGGTTTGAACCCACAACTTCTGACTCAGAAGCAAGCATACTATCACTTGAACCAGGCTGACACACAATCAATCTGTAGAAGGGGATTCTTCAATGGTTGGTAAAGTTACAATATGCCCTTGAACACTGTAAAAAATAACTATGTGGACTTTTTAACTATTGAATTTCAATTACAAATGTTTGAGTTTTATTTTGATGTAACATTTCATTGTGATTTCTCCTCTTTCAGATTTATTTCACAATCCTTTGGCACTGGAACCAGATTATCGTCTTTATTTAATCTATTACGTACCTTCATTGCAGAACCTGGACCAGAGGGGTTGGTTATTATTCAAAAAAGTTTTTTTATTATCTTTGCAAATTCTAACTGTATGTGTTGTGCAAGTTCTAATTGTTGGATGCTTCATACTTTCACAGGAATTGACCAGCAGGAGCGAGAAGCAAGTGTCGCTCTCTGTAACCCAGACCGAGTTCGAGTCCGTCAATCTTTAGCTTTTGGGACAAATGCAGTAGTTGAAGTTATTGCTCAATATCAACCCAAGAGAAAGATTAGGCCTTGTCCAAGTGGGAATTTTAAATAGTTCATTTGTAATTGAATTTTTAAATTTATTTTGAACTAAAAATGCTTGGGAATCAAATGACAATAATAATATCAACAATAATAATCCTTTCATTTGATGTAGTTCCTTATCAAGTCATTAAGACGTCTCAAAGCGCTTCATAGAATATACTGTAACATGAATGGACTGTATATTTTGGGGGCGATAGATAAGTTTGTTGGTTGTTACAAATGATAATTCTTGGCAATGTTTCTGCAGCAACTTATTTATGAAAGATGCATATTTTATCATCTTTATTTTCATTGTGCAAGTGACAGGATTTCTGACAGTCTTTTGTTAAGATTAAATGATCCATCCTTTATCTTTACGTAATTTAATTAATGTTTAGAACATTGTCCACAAATATACAAAGTAATAATTGACTGAGATATTGAACAAAATACCTCAGAGATTTACTATCTTCTCTTGATGGTGAATTCTCAGTCTTTTTTGTTGCTGGGTTGAAGATTATATTTTGGATAATTTCTGAGAATTTGAATTTTGAAACCTAATTTTCATTGGCAAAAAAAGGTCCATCCAGATTCATGAATTTATACACTTGGTAAGGATAAATCCAATGTTATCAGGAGTATTTGCAATCATCTGCAATGACCGCAACCTTCCCATAAGCAGAATGTAGACACAAGGGTAGCAGAATCTTTCATAATAACAATAATAATCCTTGCATTTGATATAGCGCTTTACCACGTCTTCGAGACATCTCAAAGCACTTCACAGAATATACTGTAAAGTGAATTGACTGTATATTTTGTGGATAAAACACAGCAGCCAATTGCACACAGCAGTGTCCCATAAACAGTCAACAACAACAACTTGGAATTATATAGTGCCCTCCATGCCGGACGGCGTCTCAGAGCGCTTCACAGTAACGGATCCCGGGGCCGAGCCAGGGGGAGGGGGAGGAAGGTGACTGACCAAAGGCGCGGTCGAAAAGAAAGGTCTTCAGCTGAGTCCTGAAAGTGAGAAGAGAAGGGGCGAGGCGAAGGGAGTGAGACAAGGATGAGGATCTTGAAGTCGAGTATTGAGTCACCAAATTATTGTGGAGAGATTATTACCTGTGGAAATGCAATCTGCCAATCGATTAACAATCAAGTTCCTCCTTACTGCTAGGTAAACAAAATTGTGTGGAGTAGGGAAACCTGCCCAACGTTTCGCCCCACCCCGCCCGGGAATCGAACCCTGGTCCTCTCGCTTGCGATGCGAGTGCTCTAACCACTAAGGTCCAGGACTATGTATTCTCACCATTTGCACTAATTGGGATTGACAGCTCAGCTCCAAGGAGACCCTGCTTACTTCCCCCTCAGATTCCTCACTGAAGGATGGATCTTCTGTGATCTAGTCTAAGTGTTAACAGTAACAATCAACAACAGCCAAGTGAAAAGTACAAAACTTACCCTGCTCCACTAGGTGGCACACATCTCATCTTGAAAGACAACTTCTCAGCAGCTTAATGTTTTTTGTACTAACGTGAGGGAAGGTAGTGTCTGTGGCAGGCGATGTTGTGGAGGTGACAGAAATCTTAGCGAGCGACAGCCCAGCTCTAGGGCTTAAAGGAGAGTTGGGGGTCCCACTGCTCCACCATCGGCAGCTTTGTTATCAGCTACCACGCTCGAAACTCTGGAATTTCCAACCTCAACCCCTTTGCCTTGCGCCCTCCTTGCCTGTCTGCAGATCGCATCTGAAGATCTTCCTCTTCACCTCTTTCCTGGCTTGGGCTAAGCTCTGCCACTGTTAAGTACCCTGAGATGCTACCCTACATGAAGGACAATATATAAATGCTGCTGTTGTTGTGAGTTGAACAGGACTCTAAGTTTTCATACTGGATTAATGACGTGGAGTATGAATCCATGCAGATGAATGCCATGCAATTAGAATAAAACATATTATAAACAGTGCATTTCTCACTTTGCGTTATATGATGTATGATTTTAAAAGCTCCAAATTTAGTAGCTTGGAATTGTTTAAGCCTCCAAACTTGTTTTACTCTACATTGCAAGCCAGCAGATAAAGAAAGCTTTAATCTCATCCATGTTGGGTCGATTTGAACCTGTGTCACAGAGCTGAATGGGCAATCATGGGCAAGCAAGCATGGGCAAGATATATTGAGTCACCACAAAATACACAGTGAATCCACTTTACAGTATACATATATTGGGTGGAGTCCTGTAGCTCAGTGGTTAGAGCACTCACCTTGCAAGCGAGATTCTCAGCAGGGTGAAACCTTGGGCAAGTTTCTTTACTCCACACGCCTGATAATAATCCCTCAAGAAAAAAAACGATAATAATTTGGTCACTCAATCCTCAACTGTTTGAGGGACACTGCTGTGCGCAATTGGTTGCTGTGTTTTGCCCACAAATATACAGTCAATTCACTTTACAGTATATGCTGTGAATCGCTTTGAGACGTCTAGAAGACGTGAAAAGCCCTATATCAATTGCAAGGATTATTATTATCATGTGAAGCGTATTGAGATATGTCATTGACTTGATAAAGACACTACTTTTATTGCTTTCCAAATACATAATAAAAAATAACCTTGAAATAATTTAATATTTACAATGATATGAAATGCCATAATTGCAGTAGAAATGGAATTTAAGAGAATGCTTGTGCTAATATATTTTTTCATATCCCAATTTCAGGTCATTACAATATCGGGATGGCTCAGGTCAAGTTAGTATTCTATCTTAATTTATCATTTATATCCATATACATTTACCTTTTTAAAAAGAAAAATATGCTTTTGTTTCCCTTTCCATATATTCTGCATTCCATGGGCAAGGTAAAGCAACATCAGCCATAAAGATTAGACAGTCTCTTGAAGTGTTTTCAGACGGGATCTATATGATGGTCCTCTATGAGTGTAGAATTTAGTTGGAGGTCACATGATGTTCCCCTATCTTTGGGTAAACTATATTACTCTAACTTTCAGATTTATTTTCCTGATCCGTTTAGTTTCAAACCCAGCACTTTGCACAGATTGGTCTCAAACAATGTTGGGTCAGCTCTCAACCATTCTGCCCCTCTCCCTGGAACTCCATTCCAGAGTCCCTCCGACTTGATTCCTCCCTCACCTCGTTCGAAGGGCATCTCAAGACCTCTCTGACCACTCTTTCAGTCCTTGTGGTGCTCCTATCCCCCTCAGATTCCAGCTTGATGCCAAGCGAGCAGTGTTAAGTAATTTGAGACATCTTCCCGACATGAAAGGTATATAATTGTATTGCATATTGTACTGTAAACAGGAAATAAGGTAGACACCGAAGGAAGGCTTAAGTGGCTGTATCCTGTTCTTACATAGTGATAAACTGGGAAAACATCTAATTGACCTATCTGACCATTGCACATGACTAAACCATTGGATGGCACATTGCTGATCACATTCCTGGATGTTGGTAGGATTAGCGGTAAATATTTTCTACCAGAATTGTCTATACATCCCCACCCAGCCCCTCTCTCTAGAGGTCAATTCTATTAAATTCCCAATTCATTTTAAGTGGGATTTCAGCATAACAAAATTGATCTTAAAGCAGACTTGACTGTATAGGGAATGCTGTGATGTTGATGAATCTGAATGTTTTCTTTTAACACAGATTTTTTTATTTAACCGTTCTAAAGCAAAAGTTATTTTAAAATAAAATATTAAATAATAATAGCAATCGACTTGTTTCGGTGTGTTTCAGATTTCCTCCGGACAAAGAGCTTTCCTCAGAAATAATGAAGAGATCAATCATGCAGTTTTCCTGCATTGACTGGAAAAAAATGCCCACTGCAAAGCAGAAACGTGTAGAACGCATACCTACACTTTCACCTCAAAAAATTACTGTTCAGTTCAGATAGGGTTAGAGGAAAATGTGTTTGATACCACATGGTCAAAAATGGAATTCCCTTGTTTAAAATGAGTGACTTTTCAATCCGCAATAAACGCCAAAGGTTTGAACCTCAAAACTGTTCTTGTTCTGCATTGCCATTTGCTTACAAAATATACTACCATTTAACTACAAAATAGAGTCACTATATTTTGCAGTAAATCCTCTGAGGCATTTTAAGAAGGCCCTTTGACATGAAATGAGCTGCATCGGATGCAAGGAAATTTATTATTGCAGTCTGAGAGATTCGTTCTGCTGTATTACTACTTTTCTGCTTTACATCCAATTATCTTTTTCAATGCTTTTGATTTTTTTAAAACCAGACAGGATTCTAATGTGCGTAGAAGTAAACTCTTTGCTGTACTTAACAATCTCCAGTTTTAGTTCCTCCCATATCATTCTCAATGGTAAAAACAGCAAAGAGCTGGCAAACCCCTGACTGGCAGTGGGAGGTTAAAGTCTGAAGTTCAATTCCCAGCTTCATGTGTGTCAGTGTGTGTGTTGTGTGTGTAGCTGGGGTGGGGGTCAGCACAAGTAAAAACACACTCAGTTATTATTTCTGCACAACTTACAACAAAATACCATGCTTACAAGTATGGATTGGTTTTATTCAGGAATTACATTGATAGGTTAACATTTTGTAACTTTGTATTATTGCTGCATGTGAAACATGAAAGGTGCCCATAATTGTACACATTGCTCAAAAATGATGCACACTTAATTGAAATACAAGAATTCACATAGAGGCCACACAATGGGCATTTAAAAGACCACAAATTAACCGCTACAATTTTACAAAACTTTCACCAATATAACCTTTCACATTATGTATAAACTACCCCCTAAATGATGGTAATTATAATAATCCTTGTATTTAATACAACACCTTAAACATCACGAAGACATCTCAAAGCGCTTCACAGGTTTAACTGTAAACCATAGGGACTGTGGATTTTGTAGAACACAAAATGTGCATTTTTTACACACATACCTGTTATAATCGGTGCTGCAGTTAGCCATTAGTAACTGAAAATTTCCACACAAATCATGGTCATCCAGTAGTACTATGAAGTCATTCCAGCATATAACATTTTTTTTATTTTAGCACTGGTCTCAGTCATTGCTGCGTTTTATCCAAGGCCGCTGATTTATCCATTGATGTAAAACTGCATGCAGTCAGATAATATTACAAAATCAACAGCATTTACTGGAACTGGTTAAAACACAAAGTATTATTGAGGGTTATATGAGAAACACTTGCTGAAGGTTTGATTTGATTCACCTGCAGTTAATCAAGCAAATGATTTATTTAAGAATAGGGAAAACATAAAATGTTACAAAAACAGTTTTAAAAATTGTAATTCAAGAACTAAGAAAGACAATTTGCATTGTCAAGACCCCATAAACAACCCTAAGGTAAATGACCAATTGATCTGGAAAATTGTTGACCATTACCCCAGAAAACATGGGATCTTTAACACACACCTGAAAACATGCAGCTGTTGTGCAATCAACTATTCATTTGCTACATGTTGTAATACTCTGTAAATACAGGAGTCAACAGACCAATTGGTGTTCTCTCAGAGAAAAACCTTCTAGTAGATAATGAAGTGCAAGTTTTAAATGTGGAAATAGATTCAAAGAATAACTATTTCAATCAATGATGGGTTTTTGGACCAGAATAACAAAGGTGTCGTTTTTTGTATAAGTGTATTTTTGTTACAGGCAATCTTGCACAACATTTATATGTCCACTAACTGAAGTACATTTAAATCCGCTTAAACTGAGAGGTCATTGTGGAAGTCATGAGAAGGCAAAAAATAGAAATATTATAGTATATTATATAAAATTTCCATGTGTTTTTTAAATCCTATGTATTCAGTTGTTTTACAAGGAGTTAGCTTTAGATATCATGCAATTGCTAAGATGATAATACATTAGAGATTTGTGACTTGTATCTTGGAAATGATTCAGACTTCATTACAACACTACTTTTCTAAAATATGACCTACCAAAAGCATTTCACTCAAATGAGATCACTCATTGTGCACTGTATATAGCAATCCTGCTGAAGGTAAAATTTTCCCCGCACAATAAACTGGTGGGGACGAGGCAGATAACAACTTGCACTTAAATTTGCTTAAACTGAGAGGTTATGGTGGAAGTCATGAGTAGGTAAAAAATAGAAATATTGTAGCTTATTAGATATCCATTTTGTTTTAAATCCCATGTGTTCAGCTGTTTTGTGAGGACATCTTAAAGCGCTTTATACAGCTAACTCAGCTGGAGAAATTGAGAAAGGTGGGGTGGAAAGATTTGAATGCGAGGGCGAGAATGTTGAATTTAGGCCACTGGGAGGTGGAGAGCCAGTTGAGGATGGGGGTGAGAGGCTTGCAGAATCTAGTATGGGAGAGGATATGGGCTACAGGATTCTGGATGTCTGAAGCACATGTAGGGAGAAGCTGGGTGTCCAGTGAACAGGGCATTGGAAAAATTAAACCTGGACATGATTAAGGCAGCCTGCGGGGAGTGGGGGAAGAGAAAGGAGGCAAGTAAGAGAGCCTCGGTTTTGACATTCAACTGAAGGTTAGAGCTCATCCAGGATTTTCTATAGGCAGTCTGTGAGAAAAGCAGTGGTCCTGGAGTCAAGGGCAGAAATAAAGAGATAAGAGTTGGACATCACATGCATACATGTTGAAGTGGACCCCATGCCTGTGGATAATGTCACCAAGTGGGAGCATATAGACAGTGAACAGGAGAGGATCGAGGAACGCCAGATGTGACTGCAGAAGCAGGAGGAGAAACCAATGGAAGAGACTAAGTGAAATAGGTAGGAGTGAAATCAGGAACCGACAACAATGAAGCGCAGAGGGCGGGAAGAGAGAGACAGCAGAGACATTACAAAACCTAAAATTACCTCCGAGACAATGGTCCATGGAATATTACAACAAATCCCAGTTAAGAAAATTAAGATTAAATCTAATTTGTTAAAATATTTAAAGTAAAATTTCAAACCAGATCTAAATTTTCTGCCTTCTCCAACTTACTACCCCGGAGCAGAGGTTCACTGTCTGTGTGCACGTGTGTTGTGGGGGGAGATGTCAGAATGTTTTCAAAATTGTGACTATTGACAGGTTAAATGGAGAAAAACTATGTGCGCTGACTGGTCATCAGCAAGACGGCATAAATTAAGCCTCATCACTAAAAGAGGAAAGTGGCAGGTTAGAAAGTAAAGTGCTTTACCAAATTGTTGTTGAAACAGTCAATAAAAGCATTTACAATGGAACTGGTGAAATAGCCAAAGAAAAATATTCAAAGATGTGGGGAAAGAGCAGGGGAATGGGATGATGTAGAGGTAGTCCACCCTCTACCCATTCAGTTTGATTAACAAGTTCTCCTGGGGCAGAACTTATATTCTTCCTTCGGATGAAACGTTAAACCGAGGTCCTGATAGGCCGTTCAGGTGGATGTTAAAAATCTCATGGCAAAATTTGAAAAGAGAAGGGAGTTTCTCCCGATGTCTTGGCCAACAATCCCCCAAATAAAACTGGTCACTCACGCCAAGGCTGTTTGTGGGACATTGCTGTGCATTAACTGGCTGCCGCATTCACCCACAAAATACAGTCAATCCACTTTACTGTATATCTACTGAATGCAAACATTATTCTTCTAATTATGATTAAAATGTACAGTCAGTACACTTTACAATAAATCCTGTGTACCCTCCTGACATGAAAGGCACTATATATAATGCAAGGATTATTATATGGTGGATGTCAGTGATGTCCTACAGTGCTAGATGTACTTTGGACATCAGTAATACACATTATAATGTTTTGATGTTGAATTGTCAGAAATATTATATAATGTTTGCAGATGAAAGTGTTTTACTGCCATATTAATTCACAATCGAGTTCCTGGAATACAGTACTGGCTGTGTATTGTTTATAGATAAAACATAATCCTAGCAGCTGGAGCAGTGGAGAAAATTCTGAAAGACTTAAGCTTGCTGTACTAATACAATTATAAGCAAAATACCAGTCAAGCAGTATATCGTTTTATTCAAGGTGAGGGAAGGGGGAGGAGAAAGAACATTCACACTAAAAAAAATGTTCCATATTGATCAATAACATACATTCAGCACTGGATATAAGCAGTATTTGTTGGCAATTCCTTTAATCTATTTTGCTGATTTGCAATACATCCACTGATAAAACCATGAGTAGGGAAAAACAAGTACTTTTTTTTGAGAAAATAGTGAAAAAATAAGCTATGTAGCCAAAATGCCATCAACTTTCATGATACAGAATAGAGCCAAATTGCTCACACTGTTTAAATCTTCCCTGGGATTGGGCAACTGAGCAGCCTTTTACCATCAGACAGGGAAACAAACCTTCATTCTCCAGCTAATTTACTTAACATTCTAGATTTCCATTTGCTTTAACTTCCTGGTATTTCCAGCAGGCAATATCCCTTTTTTTGTTTCAATAATGTGCATCACAAAAGAAAATTAAGAAGGATATTAGTTGCTCTGAACTGAGTTTCAGCACAGCCATTTACAGCATTGCGCCCTAAGCAGTTAATGTTCCATCTGCTCCAGATGCAGTTAAATGAATTAAGTATGGTTGAAAGTAAATCCCACTGATCACTCACATACACACATACACGCATGCTAGTCCTGCTTGGCTGGCACTGCTCCTTGCTCAAGGACAGCAGGTTGCTTTGGTACAGACTGTGACGGGGTTGAACCATGCAAGATCAGAGCAACTAATTCCTTTAGTGCACAATAAATACAATATGATCCTCTGCCACCGTTGTTCAGTGGGAGAGTTGACCTTGTTGATGAATGTAGGTTGGATTAAATGTTTCACATACAGGGAGTAGCTGGAGCAAAGCCAGGGCCGCATTAGATCATCTTTATTCCTCAGCTGAACATTTGTTTACAGATGGACTGGAGTCCCCGTCACGTGGAGTTGTGGAAGTTACTTTAGTTTCTGCTGTTTCCTTTGTCCCGACACCATCAGCTCCCAGGTTGGCTTCAGAGCTTGGCGGTAGGGAAACAGAATATTTGCTAGTTTCTTGCACAATCCCAGGCTCACCCAACTCACTTTGGGAAACGGGCGTATTTTCTTCTGTTTAAAGTAAGCAGAGTATTTGTTTTTTAAAAAATGCATTTACAAGCACCAGCTGCACTTCACAAACTCTCCAAAGTTGAATCCAAACCAACCAGATTAACTATACTGAAGGTGCAATTTTAAAGTGGTTGCGTAAACGAAATTCAGCAGCAACCTCTAATCAAGTTCAAAATTTCATGCTGCCCCACTATAATTAGGAGCAGCAGTGTCACTTTGATTACTTCCTCCTCAACAGCAGTCAGAACAAAAATTGTTCTGAAATAGGAAAATGTTCATGGAAATTGTCAATGCTGCAAATGTTGTCAATGCTGCTTGCTCTGTCAAAGAGCCGGCACAGACTCGATGGGCCGAATGGCCTCCTTCTGTGCCGTAACATTCTATGAATCTATGAAAAAAAATGTGATTTATTGATCAATTCAAAATATAACAAGAACCCTTGTATTTGAAATAGCATACTTTCACTCAGGAGGACGTCTCAAAGCGCTTTATAGGATTTACTGTAAAGTGTAACGACTGTTTTGTAGGCAAACCCAGCAGCCAATTTTGCACAGAGCAATGTCCCACAAACAGCCACGAGGCGATTGACCAATTATGCTTGGGAGATTATTGGTGAGGACACCGGGAGAAACACTTTTGGAGTGTCAGCTTGGATTGTGAGCTCAAAGTCTCAATGTGGGTCTTGCCCCCGCAGCCTTCTGAATCAGAGGTGAAAATGCTACCAACTGAATCACACTAACACCTGGAGTAAAAGACCACAAATTACATTTTGATATTTGAGTAAACTAAATTATTTTGAGTTATGGCCCCTGATTTACAGTGCATTTGATGCGGTTTATAGTCACAGAGAAATCTCACGGTGTCTGGAGAAAATATTCAGATGATCAGAATACCTCTGGATGTTCAAAACAGGGGTTGAACTTGCTTGCAGTAAGGAAGAGTGGCACTTGCTCATTTCCTTGCTTGTATGTTACACCTTGATCATTTTATTCTACACCCAGACAATATAATGACACAACTATATAAAGAAGCCGGACATTTGGTACGCTGTTAAAGAGTACAGTGTAATCAAATGTCATGTGACTCTGCTTCCCTAGCGTTCACCCTTCTATGTGTAAAGTATTATTTCCTGATCTCACTTCTAATTTAACATCATGTCTCCAGAGAGAAAAGCCAGCTCCTGTCTACAATGTCAATTCCAGGGCCTTGGGATGACCTTCCAATGTGAAACGCAAATGATATAATTGCAATTTGCTGTTCTTGTTGATGATTCCCTTCATTGTTTTAAACACCTCAATCAGATGCCCCCGCACTTCCTCTTTCATTGACAGAGCAGCACTCCGAAACACTGCCCTGCGTGAAGGGCACTATATAAATGCCAGTTATTGTTATTGTTGTAGAACAGGCTGAACGGCCTTCTGTTTATTGACAGAGGTGATAAGAGCTCTGAAGCTTGAAACCCTTCCAGTGCTGGAAAAGGCTCTTTGTTCAGATGCTGCTGATTGCCCGACATTGTTGTATATAGTGTAATATATAAAAATAATTTGGTCACTTAATGCATGACTATTTGTGGGAGACTGCTGTGCGCAATTGGCTGCCACTTTTCACCCACAAAATATACAGTCAATTCACTTTACAGCATATCCTATGAAGTGGTTTGGGATGTCTCGAAGACGCGATAAGGCGCTATATCAAATCCAAGGATTATTATTACCAGTCACAATTAACCACAGTATATCTCAGTGTATCCGCATGCCTGCGTTCAATTCCAGGCAGGGCGAAACCTTGGGCAAGTTTCCTTACTCCACACGCCTAATAATGTGGGACATTGCTGTGCGCAATTGGCTGCCACGTTCGCCCACAAATATACAGTCAATTCACTTTACAGTGTGTTCTGTGAAGCGCTTTGGGATGTCCTCCCGACGTGAAAAGCGCTATATCAAATGCAAGGATTATTATTATTATTATGCCTACTTATATATGGAAACAAATGTGGGACTGGGAAATACCAACAAAAAGACGTTGTGCGTGTGAGCGGGGTTACTAGGTCAATCACTTACTTGCACAGTATGACTGTGAGTCGGCAGTGAACGTAAATGTTTATTCAACAAACCAATCGAGGGTTAAGGCAGGGAGAAAGTCAGACGAGAGAAAGAGAGAGAGACAGAGACACATGCACAAATTGTTTGTGCAGCCAGGGGCCTGACACAAGCAGAAACCCATTACCAGGCCGAAGAGTAACCAAACCAGATAGCGACCCACATCCATATGCCACCAACGCATGAACATTTCTATGTCTGCAATGGAATGTACTTTCTCCCTGGATGGATGCACCCTGCTTACCTAATGTCAAAAAGTAGATGCAGGTTGGTAAGAAGACCACATAGTATGCATGACAGAACTGCTGGAGTTTAACCAGCTCAATCTATAGTTTGCCAGCGTGATCATTATCTGGCATGCTTCCTGCTGCTTGTCAGGTAGGAACACTACCCCTTAGGGATTTTTATTCCTTCTCCTTCCCTCCCTTCCTTCCCCTCACCCCCTCCAAAGCTTGTATCTGCCAATCATCAATGTTTGACAAGTGTTCACATCTTCAAAAAGTAATGTTAGAGCTTGCCCTCAGCTTAATCCATCCATACTGCTGCGGAGAGAGTACAAAGTAGAGGCAAGGTGTTTTCCCCATAGAGAGAAATGGGTGGTCATAAAGGTTATTGTGGGTGTACATTTCCTAGCAGATGCCTTCACAGCATCTGAAGGACAGAAAGGCTGGGGGGTGGGTGGGGAGGGGGGGAGAGAGAAAAGAGAGAAGAAAGATTGACACAAAAAAGGTCTATAGGAAAATAAAACAATGAATTTTCAATGGGATATCAATGAAACTTGATCTTATTTAAATGGACCAACCCTTGTTCTGCTTTGCGTTTTCTTGCCTCTGGCTGTCTATGGCTTCTTGCTTCTCTCTCGACTCTTTCAGTTTCTTACACACTTTTTTGTGAGTGAACCAGTGCATCTTCTGGCAATTCTGGTTGCAGTAAGTTACCTGAAACAACAAACAGCAAAGAACTACTATAAGACAATGGTGCAGGCAAAGAGTTTATAAAACCACACTCATGAATTTCAATATTCAAAAGAGATAAAGGCAACTTTTCAATTACCAATAATTGTAATAATAAAAATACTTGCATTTGATATAGCGCCTTTATCACATTTCTTGAGACGTCTCAAAGCGCTTCACAGAATATATGTAAAGTGAATTGACTGTGTATTTTGTGGGAGAAATGCGGCAGCCAATTGCACACAACTTTGTCCCACAAACAGTTGAAGATTGAGTGACCAAATTTGTATTTTATATGGTGTAAAGTTAGCACTAAGCACTACACTACGGGATTCCACAAATTATCGCCACAGGAATAATAAACTTCAAATTTGGCTTTTTAGGTTCTTTATTAAGCTAAATAATTGCCAGCTATCTATCTGACACAAACATACTTACCATTTTGCAGACTGAGCATCTTTTATCTGCTCCCTTCTCGCCACATGCTGTACAGAACTCAGCATCCACAAAGCCGACCTGGCCAGTAATTGTCTGTGTTAGTACAGATAATGCTGTCGGATCACTGCCCTGTTTGTTTGGTTTGGGAATGGGGGGGAGGGGAGGCAGAAAGAGAAATAAAAGTGATTAATCTTATGCAGATAATTTGCCAAAACATATTAGTGTCTAACTTCTTTGTGAACCAGGCTGGGGAGCGCAATTATAAATGGCGAGAGGTCCAACTTTAGACTGTTATGAGCTGGAAGTACAGAAAGTGCCACACATTCACATAACCAGCTAGCCACATGTCCATTTGTCCAAATCAGTGCTCCAAAGAGGGAGTGAGGTGGACCTGTGATGTTGGCAAAGGGTTTTGGCCTTGTAAGAGCATGTGGGAAGCAAGTTCATGATTTTTCCTAAGCAGCACAGCTGTGAACTTAAGTAACGGTATTTACTCTGCAATTTATTACAGGTGCAGCTTTGGGTTATGAAGTGAGAGTCGGAGAAGAGAGGTATTATAGTAACAGAATAACTCCTGATGTGGCTAGCAGTGTAGTCAATTTCTATTTTGCAGATGACCCAATCTCTCTGCATTCACAATAAAGCCAGTCCAAATTAGCGGCTCAGTGATATGAGAAAAGAATCAGACAGCTATATAATCGAAACAATGAATTAAAACCTGTAAGGTATTATATAGGATTGCTTACAATCTCAACTGGAGCTATACTCCTCACAAGCTGCTGCAGAAGTGTGGCTTCACACCATGGGAACTTCCGGATACATTCCCTTAGGAATTTTTCTTGGTAATATGGGAAGCCATCAGTATCACGCCCTTTTAGTAAGCTGCAAAAAACAAAACAGCAAAAAGGAATAAAGCTTAATATAGTCTATGTGACATCCATAGCAAATGTATTTTAGTACAGTACAACCACCAACAATAACAACTTGCATTTGATAAAGTGCCTTATTATGTCATCAAGACGTCTCAAAGCGCTTCATCGAATACACTGTGAAGTGAATTGACTGTATATTTTGTGGGCAAAACCGGCAGCCAATTGCATGCAGCAGCGTCCCACAAACAGTTGTGGATTGAGTGACCACCTTTTTTTTGCTCGTTAATTAACTTTTTTAAGGAATTATTACCCCCGGAAAAGCGATCCGCCAATCGACTAACAACTGGATTCCTACTTACTGCTTGGTAAACAGAAGTGTGCGGAGTAAGGAAACTTGCCCAATGATATGCTGATAGCATTTTAACAAATCGTCGAGATGTCTCAAAGTGCTTCACAGGATTTTACTCTAAAGGGTAGTGACTGTACTTGTAGATGAACACAGCCACCAATTTGCACACAAGCAGCCACAAAGTGAGCAACTAATTTTATCTGGGAGCTGGATTGGTGTCCAGGACACCTTTTTGACTAATGCCATGGGATCTTTATCATCCACCTGAACTGGCAGACTGGACCTCGGTTTAACATCTGAACTGATGGACGACACTTCCAACAATGCAGCACAGCCCCAGAAGTGCATTGGCGTGTCAGCTAATCCGAGCATCTCAGAGTTCTGTCGTGGAGCTTGAATCTATAACCTTCTGACTCGAGAGGCAAGAGTGCTACCAACTGAACCTGGCTGACATCTCATTTTATATATAGTTGTTGAAGGTAATTTTGGGGCCAAATAGGGTCAAACTTGCAGTCCGTGTGAGATTTACAGACTGGAGGTGGATGCCTGAAACCATTCCCAATGGTGAAGATCAGTAGGTCAGGTCCATTCTGTTGGATTTCCAGCTTTTTGATATATTTGTTGACTAAAAAACAGCTTCCCATTAACTGGCAGTGGAAGGTCACAATCTGTGATGTTCAACTTAATTTCTTAAGACTTCACCACTGAGAATAATATTGAAATCCTAGTATATCCCCGAAGCTTTTGACTCAATTTAGATGGTGATGGTTCTCCTCTAGTCCATTTGATGTAGATTGTATGTAGATTTGACTCAGATGATTCTGTGATTGAGGTGCTAAATTGGCACCAGTTATCAAAAATTTGCATTTTGTGCATAACCTGCAGGTCAGTACTTTGTTTTTCTTAGTATTTTAGAGCGTGCAAAACCTTAGACAATTTTTAAACTCGAATTTTAATTTTGAAGAGTTTTCTGTCATTCATAAAAGAATCTACAGCTTCAAAATTTAAGGCTGAATTTAAGATTTGACCAAACTTTGCACATTCTAAAATGCTAAGAAAAAGAAATGTCTTGGATGGAACTTAACCCTCCTAGGAACCACGCCTTTGACTACATGATTAGCTACCATCCCAGATAGTACAGTCAGTTGAACACCACACTTGGAATCAGAAATAATGATCCCCCTAAGTCAGTGTGGTGCAACTTTTTGGCTGCATTGGGCCGAATTCCCTATTTGAGAAAGGTCCGCGGGCCGCATCGTGCCCGAGATCATTCCAAATTCCGCTCCCTCCCTCCCTGGTGAACGTCCTCCCAGGGCAGTGGCAGGAGCTGGCGGTTGGGGGGACACAGCGCACAGAGCCTTTGCTGCAGTCTGTCAGGAATGCAAGCGGGTCTCTTACCAACCACATCCTTAGCAACCAAAGCTCGGCTCCTACCGCTGCAGATAGTGACCAGGGCCTGGGAGAGAGAGTTGGGGAAGCCGAGGGGGGCGATAGAGAAGGGGGCAGAGAGAGGGGGAAGAGAGGGAGAGTAAAGGCTCTTTGCAGTGCGTCCTCCCAACCACCAGCTCATGTCGTTGCCCTAAGAGGACGTTCACTAGGGAGGAAGGGACGTTCACTACCTGTTGGACCACAATGTTCTAAGCCATTCACCCTTCTCAGGTCACTAAAATAGCACCATGTCTACAATATACCATTCTAAATCAATGTAGCACTACATCATTAAGATGGATCTCGGTTTATGAGTGCTACATAAATCACCATCTTATTTGCAGAATACTAAACAAACTTTGATTGCACTTTTGACCACCCCAACTCTCAGCTTGGGCTCCCAGTCCATCTTTATAAAGTACTTTGAGATGTTCTCCTACATAATAAAGGTGCTCTAAAAGTGCAAATTGTTGTTAAAATAATATTTCAAAATTGGTCAGTTGCAATGTGAACCAAAATTTTAAATTGCACAGGTTTGCAGATTTGGTGAGATCATCATCTCAATCGAAATTTAAAAGGGAGCCTTGGTTTCTGAACTCACAATTGCCACTAACGCAGCTGCTCACCTCTTAATGAGTCCATCGAGTTTATCTTCTTGTTCCTTTAAGAAGCTGATACACTTCTGGAAGATGTAGCTGAGGTAGTGCATCTTCATGGCCAGCACTTCATTGATTTCCCTCTGTTTCATACATTTCTCACATATAAGGTCCAATATCTTGTAGCATTTGCCCAACGCATCAACTTCTGCCAGCAAAGGGTTCTCCTTAATCAGAAGTATAATCTGTAAACACCACAAAACACAAAAGAACATTATTACCTCAAATTACAAAAGGTGATTTTCTGACAAACGATTATAATTAATACACGTACGTTTCTTGAACTCATTGTATATGATATCCGATATCACATACAAGAATATCATAATCAAAGTGTGTATGAAACATGCTTGGATTAATCATAATCAGTTTGGGAGTTTGAAATGAACACAGCTAAATTGAAATGACCAGAATGTATTGCCTTATTGCATTCTTCTTCATTCCAAAAATAATGCAATTTTGTTTAATTACAGAAGTACGTTTAAAATTGAATTGGTTGCAGATCTACAATTCAAGCTCGAATGCCAGTGCATTTGCTTTACAACATTTTTTAAAAAATCAATTTAGTGTCCAATTGTTTTCCTAATTTTCTTCCCACTGGCATTGTGCTTCTCTGCTTCCTGCCCGGCCTGCTCTAGTTGGGATGTGGTTCCACAGGCACTGGTTGTTCTCTGGGATGTTGCCCATGGAGCCATTGTTGATTTGTGATCTTTGGCCATGAGTCCTGGAAGACCAGTCAACTGAACAGGGCATCAAAGCCAAGCCTGACTTTCCCACTTAGCTGCTATGTAAACACACAGCAAGTAGAGGCTCAACAGGAACCAGGAGCTGAAACCCTAGCTGGTTACTCTCACACCCCGACCCCTCTCACTCTCCTCCCACACCTCATCCAGAGGCCAATTTAGCCTCCCCATGCAGCCCTTGCTGAGACCAGCAAATATCAGCACAGTCCGGCATTCAAATTCTATCTACTAATACCATCAGCCGCTGAAACCCTGGTCCATGCCTTTGTCACCGCTCGGCTGGACTACTCAAATGCCCTCCTAGCTGGCCTCCCCTCCACTACCATCCATAAAATCCAGATTATCCAAAACTCTGCCGCACGCGCTCTCACCCGCACCAAACTCCGCTTCCTGATTTCCCCAGTCCTTGCCAGACTGCACTGGCTGCCTGTCCCAGAGAGGATCGACTTCAAGATCCTCACCCTTGTCTTCAAATCCCTCCACTCCTCTGCACCCCCCTACCTCTCTGACCTCTCTCCTCAAAACAGTGCCCGTTGCCTTCGTTCCTCCGGGTCTGGCCTCCTACTTGTCCCCCGAGTCCTCCGCTCCACCCTCGGTGGCTGTGCCTTCAGCCACTACGCCCCGAGGCTCTGGAACTCCCTTCCTCATTCCCTTCGCCTCGACCCCTCTTCCTATTTTCAGGTCTCGGCTGAAGACCTTTCTTTTCGACCGCGCCTTTGGTTACCTTCCTCCCCCTCCCCCTGGCTCGGCCCCAGGATCTGTTACTGTGAAGCGCTCCGAGACGCCGACCGGGGTGGAGGGCGCTATATAAATCCAAGTTGTTGTTGTTGTGATTGACATCCAACACACGGCTGTGGAATAATAGAACTCAAATGTGTTCTTTACTAAACCCTGTTATTAGGCACCTCTTAGTGACTGGATCAACAGCAGTTAAGATAGGGTCTGGGAGCTGGCAAACACCATCCTCCGAACTTGGGGAACAGTGTGACAGCTGTGGACAGGGGAAGAGAGGAACTAAACATTTGTAAAATGCGGAAAAGCTTCCGTATTATCAGTTTAAGAAGTTTCAAACTTTTTAGGAATCTTGCTGCCCAGTCCATGTGTGTTCAACGTAGATTACTAACCCTGACAGGGTGCAGGTTTGTTGTTGTGATGATTTTGTGCAAGGGTCCTGCTAATTTGACTGGGAGCTTGGGCTCTTTGTCGAGGCCTTGTGGTTTTGTGTAGTAGTCCAGTCGTTCCCGGGAAAAGAAGTTGTTGATAATGGTTACGCAGTCGTGCTGACCTAATGAAGAAAGATTTGAAAATTATATTTTAACACTTTTAACCACAGAACCATTTATACTTTTCTGAACATCATATTGAGTGATAAGTTACCCAATACCGCTATGTTTACTTTAACAACTTCTGTGTCATCTGGCTTAGTTGGTAGCACTCTCGCCTCCGAGTCAATTGTGGGTTCAGACCCCAGGTCAGATCTTTGAACACATAGTCTTGTCCCACCTAGAGCTCATCAGGTCACCGCTGATGTCCACATGAGCACATGATATCAGCCATGCCTCCTTCACAGGCCCGGTCGGTACAGGCAGTCCACATATAGTCTTATCCCTCAATATAAGAAAACGCCTTTCAACTGAGGTGCGTGATAACAGGGTCACCATATTTTCAAATAGTCATAGAATATTCATTAAAGTAGTGTTCATTTTAACTCAGCGCTTACTAAGATGGATTGATTGTTCTCAAGACTGATTTATGCAGCGGAAAGGTTTTGAGAATTCAATAACTTGAACGGGGAACAGGTCACAGTCCAAGTGGATGTACCTATTACAAAAGAGAAAAAATACATAACCTCTCGACCTGATACGATCACATTAAGCAGCATCAAAGTGTTTCTGTGAAGTATAGCTGTAGGATGAGGTCACATGTACCGCAGAAGTAAAAGTTAATAGCTTTTTTTTAAAAAAAAGAGAAACATAGCCGGCTACATCACATCAAAGACTACTCTCTGAAGCTTACCAACAAAGGCCGCCATCTGTGCTGCAGTTCGTCCAACTGAGTTTACAACATCCGTTTCAGCACCTGCTTCCAACATCATTCTGGTTATGTCTTTGCTACCTGTACAGAGGATTTTTAAAATATTAAATAGAGATAAATAATGCTCCTCCAATTAAGCACATTGCTCACTAAACATTCAATGGAAAAGAGATGAGCAATGACAGAAGCCAAGGCATTAGAGTAGAGCGGAAATTAAACCAGTTTGAAACAACCCGAGATGCTGCTAAGCTTCCAACTTTTTGGTCCAACTGGCCCTACCCTACCCACTAAAGACTAGGTTTGAAGGTTTATAAGTTCAGTGGGAAGAATTCTGGGTCAGTGCAAGCAGAGATCTTCCAAGTCCCATTGATGAACTAAGTAGGTTGGTCAGACAACAAAATCACCCACAAAAGCAGTTGCTTGGAAGTAGTCACAATGTTATTCTCTCTTCTCCTTTAGTAATTTATACCACCTCAGATTTGACTGCACAGTTGTGAATTATGAAAAAAGATACAGTGATTTGAATGCAAATAAGCAGGTTACCTGAAAGCCCAGCAAACATAAGAGCCGTGTAACCATGCTCATGCTCGTTGCAATTCACATCAGCTCCGTGTTGCAGCAGCAGCTTGCACATTTCAGCTTTTCCTTTATATGCCGCATGCATCAGAGGAGTCATTCCGTGCTGCAAAATAATTAAGCACAAAGTATTGAATTAAGGGTAGTTCTAGGCTTTAACAAAACATTCGACACATATAAACAAAACAGAACATTCAATTCTACAGAATCCCTATTTTTATAATTACAGATATACTGTGGTTGGCCAGATCACATGCAGCAATTTCTAAAGGAATTCCTTAATAACCAGAAGTACATCACTGACTTGTGGGAACTTTGCTCCAACACAATTTATCTTTGAAGTTGAGAAGCATTTACAGTTGCTCCATTTTACCGATTTTGATTATAAATTGCCACTCTGTTAAATGCCAGTAACAGCAATTTACCACCAAGTCCTGTAGCTCAGTGGTTAGGCCGCTCGGCTCACAAGCGAGAGGACATGGGTTCGATTCCTGGATGAGTCAGGGCGAAACCTTAGGTAAGTTTCCTCACTCCACACACACACGCCCGGTTGTTAGTCAATTGGTGGATCGCTTTCCGGGGGTCATAATCCCTTCAAAAAAATATATATTAACTATAATTTGGTTACTGAATGCACCACTATTTGTGGTACCCTGCTGTGTGCTGCCACATTTCACCTACAAAATATACAGTCAATTCACTTTACTGTATGTTCTGTGAAGCACTTTGAGACGTTTTAACGACCTATTAAGGCGCTATATGAAATCGAAGGATTATTATTATTATTACATCTGCTCTATATGACGCCTTTCACCCCAGGACGATCTTTGAACCATTGTACATAGGTGACAGGCATCCAGGAGGGGTGGGGGGGGGCGAAGGAAAAGGGGACCGAAAGTGCAGTCAAAAAGATAGGTCTTAAGATGAGCTTTAAAAGTGGGGAGGGATAGGTGAGGCAGAGGGACTCCAGGATGACGATCCAGAGAGCAGGGGTAGAATGGCTGATAGCTCACTCACCAATGGTGGGCAGATTAGACAGGGACGTGGTTGATGTGAGCTGAGCAGAAGGAAGAACACGGCATGCAAGAACATGGCAAAATGACACCCAGCAACAGAGGTGACTCCATTTAGCTGCGCTCAACTATGATCCAGACAGAGACTACGAATCAGATGGCGCTCATCTTATTGGGAATATGTCGTTTGGCAGTTTTGCTTTAAGGTGTGCACGTACATCTTTGAGACGTCTCAAAGCACTTCACAGAATACACTGTAATATTTTGTGGGCAAAGTATTACTGAATAGTGTAGAAGAACAATTAGAGGAGAGGGACAAAGTCTCCAGACCAGATGCTGCATTATGTTGTGAAAGCATCACAGGCTCAGTGCAGAATTTCAAGCAAAAACAACCATTGGCTCAGATCCTGAAGTGAATCATTTTATATTATCAATTATTAGCTTTAAGATTAATCATACAAGCTGGTTTTTTTTCCCCTCAATTTCCTTACACAGATCATCTACAATCACCAAGTCATGGCCATTTAGTCCCCATACGGAGAAGCTGAATCATGGGTAACATTTCTAAGAAAAAGCTCTGAAATGTCCTTTGGATCCATAAAGCACTTTATTAAAAAAAATCACAATATCAATCCATCAATGCATTATTCAGCCATAATCATCTACCCTATTCAGATCACATTTCTGTAAAATTAGCACATGATCAATCAGAGACTATTTTATCATCTATGTCTACTTTCTCCTTATAACCTTGGTGAATGTTACAAGGTGGAAATCTCAATACAGTACTGTATTATTCAGCATGCTGTACGTAGGAGTAAAATACTTGATGGTAGAGGGATATTGCCTATTAAAATTATACTTTTAGTACTTGGCTCACTAAATGTTTTCCAAATTACTCAAGGAAGAAGCATGTTTCCTTAGAGGTTCTCATTGCATGAAAGGCCGTTTGTGTCATGTCCACTGCTGTGATTATTATTATCCTTTTTATTTATTGATTTGTGTGACTATTCTGATGAACTTATCAAATGCTGGCAGGCAGGACATCTTTTAATGCAGTGTTAATCCGCGTTGTAGATCTGGTGATCTACATATTTTAGTCTGGGATGTATTGTAGAACAGAAGAGGGAGACCGAGAGTTAGCATTTTGACTTTTAGATTAATACTCAAGATTTCCTGGTATGTTGTCTTTTGAGCAACAAGGATCACTAGATAATAATTGTGAGCTAATTTTGCCTCCCCAAGCACAGGGATGCACTGACAATTGTAACCTCCCCCCTAAACTCCCCCCTATCCCAGTTGAGATTAGCTATAGGCTGAACCTACAGCCTTTTGGTCTGTATGCACGTTATAGTAGATTGGGCTTTTATCCGCTGAAACCACTGAAGATCAAAACTACTAGTCAAGCAATGCAAATTGCTATCTCTTTAAAAGAAATATGCTGATATTGCCTTGCTAAGACTCAAGTTGCCTAGACACCTTGACCTTTAACAGGCAGGGAATATGAGAAATATTGTGGATGACTGAGTATGTCAATCACTTTTTGCCTCGTCCCTCAAGCAGGTGGGGAGAAGAGGCAACTATTCTATTCACCAATCGTTACATGACTATGAGAGGGGATTATTGTGTCAATGCCAGTAAAAGGGAGAAAGCAGTCCATGACTGCCAGCATTTCATAGATACCCAAGACAGTGCATCAAAATAGTCTAAACAAATCAATAGCAAAAGGATAATAATAATCATGGTGATCCGGTCACTTCCACACCGCCCCCCCACCTCCCCACCCCCCCAGCTCAGCATCAGGCTCCATCACAAGCGCTCCAAGACGCTGTCCCGCGTGAAAGGCGCTATATGAATGCAAGTTGTCATTTAATTTTAATTGATCTCCTTAATTCTTGAGTCAGCAAGTTGTGCAGTGACTTGCCTCCTTTTGGAATGGCAGATGTTTGCAGCTGGTACACGGAGCTTGCACTTATAGATTATATGAGCACAAAGACAAGCTGGGTCAACCCATCGTCTATGTGTTGCAGAAATAGCAAAATGACACACACAACATAACTCTATGAGGTTTCATTTTCTAATGATTCAAATTTAAACCTCAATACCCCCCGACATGAACTCTGTGGGGTTTTGTCTTATATACATTGACCTCTACCAGTCTCATCTCAAGGTGCTGTTTATAGGGTTGTGCTGATCAGCCTCACTCTTATTTGGATGAGAAGGACTCTGCTCTGTTGGGATTTCAGCACCTTGGAAGAGGCTTGTCAGAGTATTACATCTTTTCTATCTTACTAGACTTTGTGTACCAATTCCCCCAAAGCACATTTCATGTGAAATGTTACATTTCTCAAAACACTTTGCGGAGATGGAGTCGTGCCTGAGCAGGGAAGGAAAGGTAGAAGGGAGAAAGCAGTCTATGAGGGAATGGATAGCTTTGCCACTCTGCCACTATCTTTTAGGGATAATAATAATCCTTGCATTTGACATGGCACCTAATCACGTCTCCGAGTCGTCTCAAAGCGATTCACAGGATATACTGTAAAGTGAAATGACTGCAAATTTTGTGGGCAAATAATTATATGTTGAAACATTTCCAAGTGCTTCAGAGATTTTCTAAAAATCTGTAGCGACTGTGTATTCATAGGCAAAACTAGTGTTAAGAAAATATTTTTACTCATTACTTTAACTTTTCAAATGTTTCAGTCCAAGTGTAACTTTACAGACCTTAATGGAGTAGCGTTTTACTTGGAAAAGCAATGCCCTCATATTGAATGCAGGTTGTACAGTATAATAAAAATCCTTGCATTTGATATACCGCTTTTTCCACATCTTTCGATTTCATATAGTGCCTTATTAGGTCGTTAAAACGTCTCAAAGTGCTTTACAGAACATACCGTAAAGTGAATTGACTATTTATTTGTGGGCAAAAGGCAGCAGCCATTTGCGCACAGCAGTATCCTACAAAGTCGTAGATTGAAATGACCAATATATTATTGTTTTTTTTCTTAAGGGATTATTATCAGGCGTGTGGAATAAAGAAACTTGCCCAAGGTTTTGCCCTACCAGGAATCGAATCCAGGTCTCTCAAAGTGCTCAAGGTTAATGCCAGTGACGTGTTGAGCAAAGGGGAGTGGGTATCCCATGTTCCTTTTCTCAACTGGGTTTCACAAAGAGTCTGTGATCTTCCACTTCCACTCCATAGGAGCTACGATTATCCTCATCTGACTTTTAGTGTTTGTGATGCGTTCACCCAGGACCTGTTGGGAGATAATCTTATGAAAACTGCATTAATAATATTATTAATTTAAGCACTCCGAGACTTTGTCCGGCATGAAGGGCGCTATATAAATGCAAGTTGTTGTTGTTAATAAGAAGACTTCTCAAAGCGTTTCATAGGATATACTGTCAGGATCCTCGGGGTTCTGTTTGACCCTGAGCTGTCCTTTCTTCCTCATATCCGCGCCACAACTGGCACCGCCTCCCATCACCTCTGGAACATCGACAAACTACGGTACTACCTCACCCCTCACGTTGCTGAAACTCTGGTTTATCACCTCAAGGCTGGACTATGGGAACTCTCTCCTCGCCGGCCTTCCCGGCACCTCCCTCCACAAGTTGCAGGTTATTCAGAACTCTGCAGCTCGTGTACTGTCCCGCACCAGGCTTCGGGACCACATCACCCCCACCCTCGCTCGCCTCCACTGGCTCCCCATCCCCCAGAGGATCGAATTCAAGATCCTCATCCTCACCTACAAGGCCATTCACGGCGTTGCTCCCTCCTACCTCTCCGACCTACTATCCCCCTACCTACCTGCCCGTACCCTCCGTTCCTCTGGCTCCGGTCTGCTCCACATCCCCCGCCCCAACCGCCCTACCATCGGTGGTCGGGCCTTCAGCCTCTCAGCCCCGAGGCTCTGGAACTCTATCCCCAGTGCCTTCGCCGCCTCCTCCCTTTCCTCCTTCAAGGCCGGTCTCAAGACCTTTCTCTTTGACCGTGCCTTCAGCTCCCCTCTCAACTCTCTACCCCCTCCTCGCTCCCTCCCTTCCCTCCCCTCACCCTGACCATTTTCCCCCCCAAGGCTCGGGTCCTGAC